AGTGAAATTAGTCAGTCACAAAAGGAGAAATTCTGCATAGGACATTATTGTAGAAGCTTAAGCAAAAGGACCCACCCTAAAACGGGGGTAAAAATTATGTATGTATTTGCTGATCACCAGGATGTATGAAAGGAGAGGAGAGGAGGGAGGGAAGGGAAGACAGAGCACAGGGTAGAGAATAGACACAGGATAGCTTGGGTGCTGGGGGCCCACAGAGGACTAGAGTGGAGAGTGAAGCATCCAGCTGATATGAAGTGAGGGGAGATGTACAAGAACACCCATATGATCAGAACTCGTCTAGAAGAAGGAAGAAGAGGGCGGGAAAAAAAAAGAGTAACCTGCTACAATTTGATGACCTTTACTTATACTTATGGATATAATAGCTCAGAAAAGGGAACAAATCTTTACAGCGAGGATCACTCCCACCCCCTCGGTACACAGGGTTGACAGGGACGAGCAACTTAGACATTGGCTACCCAAAATGGGTATATAAAGGCAAGAAATGATTGGCTTACAAGCTTTCAAGAGGAAGTCTAGTTCCAGACAGGGTGGGGGAAGGTAGAATCTCCACTGAATGATTTTCAATCTGTTGTGACCCTGCTGGCGAAAGGAAATGGGGATAAGACTCTTGTGGTACAATAGTGAATAATTACTATCAGGACTGACTGTGAGGGTAGGAAATACAGAGATAGATGTTTTTTGACAAAAGGAGGGAGAGATTGATTTTGCAGCCCAGGAGCAGAGGTCCCTGGGACCATCAAGTGAGAATAGCTGAGAGCGGGAACCTACCCAGAGAGGCAGAGACCCCAGGGATGGAGACAGAGAAGATGATTTGGACAGATAGAGCGGCTGGGGACACTGAACCCAGGGAGAGAAGAGGGGCTGTGTGCTGAGGGTCAGGGCGCAGGCCTGTGGGGTGTACCCTTTGGTTACTTGATGATGCATGAGGGGATTGTAATCATTGCAATGAAACAAAATACAGTAGGATGAATGTAAAACTGATATTCTTCCATGTAAACCTCACAATAAAAACTTATAAAATAAACATTTATTTTCTAGAAAAACACTACAATTCTGTTTTAGAGGTTTAAATGCAAAATTATTGTGCTAGAGATCACATCTCTTGCTTCTTTAGGTTAAGAGCATTCTCTTTGACCTGAATTTTCTCAGATGCAAATATTTCTAAACTGCGCCTACATATAATGGCTATATAAAAGGCATGGTAAACTACACGGACTGAAACTTTAATCTCATCCATTTTGGCCACACTATAGTAAATGTGGTCTTGAGCATGGGAAAGAAAAGGATAAAATATTTAGCTAACTGGCTCTTTACAAATCTTGGACACATTTATTTTTAATAATAGCTCCAGGATACTTTCAGGAGATGATCAAATTAGATGCCATTTCTGTTAACCTACCAACTTTAATGACACTTTCTTCTCTACCTTGTTGTAAAAGGGAGTTTTATTATATATTCTTTCTAAATTTTCCCTAGAAGTAGATCCATACCTTCTGATGTATTTTCTAAGTCTGCCACATTTTAAATGAGAGAAAATAGCTAATATTTTAATGTAAACATAGTAGAGAAAGTAAGATTTTTTAGATCTTCAAATGGTTAGCTACAGAGTTATTTTATCAAATCTGTTCATCTCTGCTTGTAGATAACTTATTCAAGTTTTATCTTATGCACTCTTTTCCACAGCCTCAATACCAGGTTCCAAATCATTTCACCATTAGCTCAACAACAAACACAGACTATCTCCCAGATTGTACCCTTCAAGTTCTGTCAAGCTCTAACTGAACTCAAGCTATTATCGTTCCAGAAGCAACGATGTAGTATACCACTAATGTCATTATTAAGTGCCTTCATCAGTTCCGACTCTTAGAAACCCTGTATAGGGTTTCTGAGGAGCAGCTAGTGGGTCTGAACTGCCAATCTTGTGGTTCGCAATCCGGTGGTGCTGACAGTACAGAGTCTTGTAGGACTCAGTTCTGATAGACATTTCATTTCTCATTTACATTACAAATAGGAGGAAGCCCTAGATTGACATGGACTCTTTTTTTCTTTTCAAATCGACAGTCTTGCTCCTTGGGAATAAATAGATTGCTCTGTCTGTTCTGGAGTCCTGGTGTGGTGCTGTGAGTTGATGCACCAGACTGCAAAGCCATTTGAACTGCAAGGTTGGCAGTTCAAGCTCACCATCTGCTCCTTGGAAACCCTAGAGAGGGTTGCTATGGGTCGAAACTGAAGAACAACAGCAACATGACTGTTCTAAACTTTTGTGTGCTCTAAAGTTTATTTGATCTCCTTTTTTTACATCTGGACAAATCTCTGTGCTCATAAGAAATACACAAACTTCTCTTCACCCCAGTAGTGTGTAATCTCCAGAAGAACTTTTTGCAAGTTAGTAATGATTTCATGTCATGTGATACAATTTGGATAGATATTGGGAAAGTGTGAATGACAAAGCTTCACAGTTATCATCACGCAACTGCCCTCCTGACAGATGTTGAGATCCTGTTTTGTTACCAAAGTTTAGTGAGAACACCTGTTTTCATCAAGTCAGTTACAACTCATGACGACCTCTGTGTGGTGCTCAGTAATAGAACTGCTCCCTAGATTTTCATGTCTGTGACCACTTGGAAGCAGACTGCCTAGCTTCCTTCTGAGGTGCCTCTGGGTGGGTTCAAACAACCATGCTTAATTGCCCACTGCTTAACCTTTTGTGCCAATCTTAGTAAGAATCATGGTCATGTGCCATTGAGTTCGTTCCTACTCATAGCAACTGTGTCTAGGGTCCCCGAGGCTGTAAATCTTTAAGGGAGCAGAAAGCCTCATTTTCCTCCTGCTTGATAAGACTATCCTTTGGAAAACCTCAGGTTATTATTCCTTCTGGAGAGCACTTTTACACTTTAAGATAGAAAATTTTTATCTGTTCTTCTCTGATTTTTCTAGTATTTTTTCTGACTTAGATTTTTGTATAGTGTTACAAGTATAGATGCCAATCGATCACCTTATGGAAATCCATTTTTTAAAATATTCAATATAACTATGTTAAGGGAGACATATTTATAATCTAATGGGTCACGTCTATGTCACTTATAGAGCACCACCTGTGTGCATGCCGTTAAATAAGTACACAGTGTAGATCTTGTTATAAAGAACCCTTCAATCTTTTTAGAAGATATAATACTTCAGGGAACATTGCAAGACAACTGCCAAAAAAAAAAAATGCCAGCAACCATCCCTCCCATAACACCCTTCATTCAACTGGGTTCGATTTAATTAGTTGCACTGACCACACAGAACTCAAACAACATGCTCACAGTTATGGAGTTTATTAGGAAAGTTAGCAGATTACAATTCAAAGTCAGAAATGCTTAGGGCACAGTGCTAAAGTTCTTTTAGGACTGCTGATAAATACCCACAGGACATACTACTCCATCGTAAGTCTTAGCCTAAAGATACTCAGTTCTAGCTCTGTGGGTCAGCAAACTTAATTCCCCAACTGTGGTCCTGGAGGGACCCCATTCTACAAGCAATCCTCTTGCTTAAAGTTGCTCAGTTTTAATTGCTTCTTGGGCTGGGACGCCTCCCATCCTATCTCATATTTTGGTTCTGGGTTCTGCTGTTGCTGGTCTTCTGCCAACCCTCTGGTGTCATAACTTTCTCTCCCGGGGTCAAAGAGAGTTCAACGCACAGGGATCTCAGGCCCCAAAAGATGTGCTCCACTCCCGACTCTTATTCTCTAACAGTACTGAAATCCCCACCTCCAGTCTCTGAGAAGGCTCATTTTAAACCTACATTAGCATTCCAGGTTTTTACAATCACAATTAACAAGCTTAACAATCACAGCTGAATCATATCATCTCATCAGCATCTCCCCCCACCTTTTCTTACCCAGACCCATCAGGAAAGAGTTGTTTGGTGGGAGTTACAAGGATTCTGGGTAGAAGAGTCATATGAAGTAATCTGCTACACTGCAACAACACTAAAATGCAGATGCTTGTAGGTAAGTCATTTTTATGGACTAGTTACACGTTTGTAGCATCTTCTTCCCCCACAAAGATTTTTATGACACCACTATGCCTTTGCAAAATTTAGTCAGGATAAGAGAGCTTGTGGGTGTTTTGATGGTGGTGATGGTTATGTTCCGTGGAGTCAGAACCGACTCATAGCGACCCTGTACAGGGTTCCTGAGGCTGTAAATCTTTACAGGAGCAGAAAGCCTCATCCTTCTCCCGTGGAACAGCTGGTAGTTTCGAACTGCTGACCTGAAGGTTCGCAGCCCGATTCATAACCACTATGCTACCAGAGCTCTTTTGATGGTATTCCATTACAAAATACTATTTTTCTTTCTTCTGGGTCCTCAAGTTCATGAATTCCTTTCTAGATCATCTTTTGCTTGCTTTTTAAAAGCATCACTATATATCTCTTGTCTTTGAGTATGGAGTGTGTTATTATTGCCTGATTGTTGTATTTATGCAAAAGAGGGATTAAAAAACCAAATATTTTGCACCCTCAGAAAAGACAAATAGGGATTCCTCGCACCCTCCTACCCCCCCAAAAAAAATACAAGAAAAAAAAAATTAAATGCAAAGCAAGATACTTTGATGCTTTGTTAAATTGAGTTATAAACGAGGAAACTATCAAATCCTGCCACTGCCCTATTGATGCATGTGGATGTGTGAATTTTCTCCATGTGTTTGCTCTGTGTCCTTCAGAACACACAGTGGAGATGAATCACTAAGGTGTGCATTTGTCTGACATCCTAGAAAGTAGCAAGACACAAAGCCAAATCCAGGAAACAGCATTTCATTTAGTTCCTGGTGTACTGCTAATTGATCCCCAAACCCTTCATTACTGTCTAGGGTAAAAGGGCTAAGTAGAAAGTAGGCATCTAGAGAAAATGACTTAAATGAAAACAAGACAGAGCAAAATGCTAGGCCATGGGAGCTTCAGTTGCTCTGTTATTGTATTGTCACACTGATTCTAAGTTTATCTTTTATTTCAGGTCACTTGGATACCCCCCTCCCCATCCTGAATGGAGATATACTTAGCTGTGATATTCGCATGCTTGACCCTCATATCACAGTAACCAATACTAATTCCTCAGTGTTAGCTCAAATTATTACTAACCTGATTCCTTTCACAAATTATTCTGTTACCATGGTGGCTTAATCAGGGAGAAATGGATATTCAGGAGGCTGCACAGATAGTTTACCCACCTATGTTACCACCCACCCCACCTTACTTCAGGATGTTGGCCCATTGTTGGTGATTCCACTAAGTGCATTGTATGTTTGGATTTCTTGGCAGCCACCATCCCAAGAAAATTGACCTAATTTGAGGTAAGACAAAATGACTGTGCTTTTGGATCTTGTTATTATCTCTCCAAAAGGAGGAGCGAGTGCTCTTCTTCCCTTTGTGTGTGGGACCGTTTCCATATTGTTATGTCCTCATTACTCATGACTTTCCTTAAATTTCATATATTCTACCTTGGCTCATATGGAACTAGAAAAGTTCATCAAGTGATAATACTATAATATTTTGAAGCGTTGTTGTTGTTATGTGCTGTGGAGTCGGTTCTGACTCATAGCGACCCTGTACAGGGTTTCCGAAGCTGTAAATCTTTATGGGAGCAGAAAGCCTCATCTTTCTT